GAAAAGTTTATCTTAAATCCCTGAGAAGTATGAGAGTGTAACAATTGACGCTTATTTTCAATTAATTTTATAGATTATCATTTGCTATGAATGTTGTTATTTCTTTAATGCAGATTTATATACAAGAAGTATCTATACTATTATAATAAAGGGTAAACACACACTTTGTTGCCTAAGATGTCAGCAATTACAGTATATTTAAAAAAAAAAATTAATAAAAATCCCTACACTTACGTCATGCTTTAGGCTATATATTTTCACGCCATTAAATTTAGTGGGTAAATATTTTGGATAAAAACCCTAATGTGGGAAAGAGACCATAAGTTGCTGCCAACATCAAGAAAGATTGCTAAGGTATGTCATGTCATGTTATGTCATTTTGACATTTGCCATTGATAATTTGACAAATGTAAACCATAAAATAAAGTGTTCATAGTTACGCGCGGATGAATCCGCACGCGAACAGCTAGTCACATATACCTAAATATATTACGTTGATAATTTTACCCTGTTTATGACAGATGTAAATTATTTTTTTCTTATTTTCATTTGCATTTTAGCCAGAAAAATCCCATCTGATTTCGAACTGAGGTTGGGATTGTTTTTTAAAAATCATTAACTTGGCCACACACGCCTGTAGCAAAAAAGTGTTTCTACAACGTCATTGCTTACATCGGCTTTTTTGGAATACCATAATTTTATTTTTGTATTTAATGAAAGATTATTTTTGTATGTTGATAAAACGCAGTCCATATCGGAACCCGACACAACATAGTTTCGTTGGGGCTATTTAAAACACACTCTAGCTAGAGGTAGCGGGTGGGTCGTGACTGTGCATACGTTGTTGTGTGGTCTAAGTTATAAGCTTCGCGTGTTATTTTATTGCCACGGCCTGTGCAAATATTGCGATTGACTTAAGCAAGAATTATTGTTACAAAAAGTTTTTAGGCATATTAGAAAAAATGAAAAAAAAAAGACTGAATGCCAAATCTGCAGTTAGTTTCTATACCAATTTAAGATGTTAAAATACAACATTAAAATTTAGAGAGTTTAATCATATTTTCGGTTTGCTTTTTATTGGTTTTATTTATTTAACTATGGTGTGATTTTTTTCGTGGGTTGAATAAAATTAAACATCTTGTTGCTTATGCATTGGGCCAAAGCTTAAGGGTGGGCCGTGAAATTGTGCATTACCATCATCGTGCTACGACCTCGTCGCAGATATTACGGGGGCTGTGACCCCATAGCCAGGTGTCAGGGATGCTGAGTTCTGCGAATCTCTAATACTAGGAGTGCTTTGACTTTTAAATGACAGGACCTGTTATGCGCGCAATGCGTATATTAGAGGAAGTTTGAAAGTAGCGTCAGTGGTCGAGAAATTGAGAATTAAAAGTTTAGTGTGTTATGGATATGTTATGCGACGAGAGGATGAGGAAATAAACCAGAAACTGTTAAGACTGAATGTGGCTACAAAGGTAGAGGAAGACCGAAGAACTGAAGTGTGGATGGATTGTGTGAAAGAGGATATGCTTACAAAGGGAGTGATTTCTGATAGAAATGTATGGAAGAGCAGCACATACTGTGCCGAAGTTCTATAGGGACAAGGGTTAGTTGAAGATGACCTATGATACGTGCTATTTCTTATAACAAATAGCAAAGAACAATACACTACACTTACACTTCTTGGTAGATTTGTTTGTACATTTTGAGTCTGTATGTATTTATGTAGTATTGAGTGCAAAACGGGTCTTGCCTAGTCCGTGACTCTATTATCCTGGTTCATACCGGGGTTTACAACAGTTTGAAATGAATACTTAGTATTTATGGGTTATTTCAATTCCTAACCTATACTTTGTAAGAATAAAAATTTCAATTCTGTTAAACGAATACATTGAAGTTTTATTCAATTTGTAGAATAAAGTGCAATTTAATTTAATTGTGTAAAAACTATACTTTTTAAATAACATAACAGATACAATGTAATAATGTCAATTTGTACCTGTTTTAACTTGTTACCGACAATGTGGCAGCCAAAAAAAAACAAAAACTCTTCTATTCAAACAAAACATCTTTTATTTCAACACATCTTAATTCTTGCGTCTCACGTATATTATAAATGCGAAAGTTTAGATGGATGGATGTTTGTTAGAGTTTGTAGCCTAAACAGCTGAATGGATTTCGATGAAATTTGGTACAGATGTAGAGGATAGTCTGGAAGAACATATAGGCTGCTCATTTTTTTAATTCCACGCGAACGGAGTTGCGGGAGAAAGCTTGTTTACAATTAATAACTGAAAACTATATCGATCACATCTCGCCTGTTATACGAATCTCTTTCTTTTTTTTACTGCAACTTTTTAATCACCAAATAAGCAGCTCGGTGGCCAGTATGCACCTTTTTGTCAGTCAAAGAGGTTGTATTTTGCACTGAACAGTACCCAAGAGTGCCAATTTCCATGATTTTGTTATACGGTTTTATGAAATAGTTTCATCCTGAGGCAGGTATATTTTTTACTTTCCCTTTAAATGTTTTTTTTTGTCCTTAATACCCAGTCTTTTCAATCGTTTATTTCGCACTGAATTTCTAAGATCTTTTCATTGCAAACACTTTGACATTTACCGGCAAATCTTTCAAACTAAAGCGTATGCGCACATAATTTCTAAACGCGGCCTGAAAGTTTATCGTCCCATAAAATATGCTTTCTTCTAACCTTTCGTGCGTTTTACTGCATTCTCTTGCGAGTTTCCTTAATGTTTACATTATAAATTTAAATACGTATTAAAATTCGTGTACATTGTACAATGTTTCGAGTCGTTTAGATTTAGGGAAGCGAGCCTACAATAACCTCAAAGGCCGGCAACGCATCTGTAGTTCCTCTGGTGTTGCGGATGTCCATGGGCGTCGTTGACCACCTCTGTGTTCCCGCCGCTCGTTTTCCCTCTTCTCATATACACAAAAAAAAAAGATTTTTAATAGAAGTAAATTGCGTGAAGACAGGTCTGAGTCATTCCTCGGAATTATGTCAACCACGCAAGTTTCCACGTTAGTTAGGCGTTGGAATTGTCTAGGCAAATACCCACTTGGACACTTCAAAAAAGATGCTATATACGATTAAATAAACAGTAAAAATGTACCTTTAATTTCTTCAGAAGTCATTGTTAACATTTTTGATGATATCAATTTTTGTGTAATTTAATGAACCATAAATAAAATCGCGTCCACTACTTCGAAACGTAATTAAGTTGCGGAACGGGACGTTTTAATGTGACAAAGAAAGCAAATTACTTCAATGCCATAAGCCATAAATATCTCAAAGGTTCACAAAACCATTATAAGTCGGCAATAGTGGTGACGTGTGACAATGATGTGCCACTTTGTCGGTGCGTTTCGTATCGCTTTTTGTCCGCGTTGTGTCGGTCCGATTTGATGACCACCTTGTATGGATTAATACGTTTTGATACTTAGTTTTTTAATTCGTACAGTTTTGATTTCGTATTCAAAATTTGTCATCACCATCATGTATCAAATTATTTGAAAAAGAAACAATGACATTTTCACGTCATGGATTACACTGTTTAGATCAGTTCGAAAAATAAATCTTAACAGGCAATTAAGGGCCCGATTCAAAATTTTAGAAACCGCACGCATAGTAAGGAGGTTCCTTTCTCTGCAGCCCTGACCACTTGTTGTTTGAGTCATTGGATTCCGCAGCCGGTGGTGTTTTATTTTTTTATAATACGTTTTATTTTATTTTTTAAAACAAATCATGTAAAATATACTATCAACAAAAATAAGAAATAAAGATGTATGAAAATCTTAATATTATAAAGAGGAGGCCGATTTTAAAAATTATTTTAGCATTAGAAAGACAATTTATAGTAACATAGGCTATATCTTCTAAGTTTTGACTCGAAGTAAGTTGCGAGCGTTTGGTATCGAGTCATTATTTTTTGTTTTACAATTGATTTAGCTGTAACGACCAATCAGGTTAAGTCGCACTTTAAAGGAATATTTAGCAGTCAGGAAGTTTTTATGCTGACTAAGGTTTTATCTTTTATTTTTACTTGAAAATTGATATTAGATAACCATTTTACATTTACTCAGAACTTACACCATGATTCATTTTAAAGCATTTTATAATTTCTGTTGCTACAAATTTAAAATGGAATGTACAGACTAAATAAATTCATAGTAAAATAATTAATTTGCTTTCCAATTAAGATCGAGTATAGTACAACAAACAGGCAACATAAATTTGCCTTGTTTTCAACTTGGGAGAATGTCAGAAGTTGGGAATTTTTTGCGTATACTGGTAACTCTGAAAACTAGTAGGCGTTTGATAATGTGATAAAACACCCATAAGATTGTTAGACTAAACCTGTGCGCAGGTCTGCCGAAGTTTCCACCTTTCACTTACGACGTCCTGCTCTCATCTGTACAGTACTCTCAGATTTTTAACGGGCAGGTCAAAAAGAGTATTGTATGGCAAACAAATTAATTAACGAGTGAAGTTAACATGACATCGTGAAGTAAGGGCCCGCAATACGATTTCGAAACGTACTTGTTGAGGTCAATATGGTCCAATGATAAGGGTGTGTGTATAAGAAAAGGCGGAAGCGTTTTTAAAAAAATCACGAATATTTTTTACTGTAATTCTCAATATGATTAAATAACTGAAAATAAGTGAGTTTGTTGAGTGATATGTTTATTTGGTTTGTAACTTTCATAATTGTTCTTCAAATACTACAAATGCAACTTTTTAAATTCAGTTTTATTAATTTGAAGAATAGAAAAACTACAATTTTTTTCTAAACCTGTTTAATTTGGTATTTCTCGCTAAAAGAATTACAAAATAAATACAATATAACTTAACTTTGTTAACATTGCCGAGTTAAAGAAGATAATCCAAATGTAAAAAATCTATACTAATAATATAAAGTGGAAATATATGTATTTTTACAGGGATTGATATAACTCAAAAACTACTGAGCCGATTTTACAAATTCTTTCACCGTTAGAAAGATAATTTATCCGTGAGTAACATAGGCTACATAATTGTTTTTTTTTAAATTCCACGATGACGAAATCACGGGCAACAATGAGTATATAATAAATGTATCAAAAATAATTAATTCTACATGCAGTCTGGCAAGGAGGCAGGTTCCCACTCGCTATCCACACAGTAAGCTGCCGTGTTTGTGGAGCCATCGGGGAACTTGTAACCTTCGTTACACGTCACGACGCAGGACCTGGAAGTAGATAAAGACATTTTAAAATCAGTTATTTTGTAGCATCCTAACTAAAATAACTCAATCTTTGATGAGAATAGCAGCATGGATGGATGGTTTTTAGAGTTTGTAGCCTAACTGCTGAACTAATCTCGATAAAATTTGGCATAAATAATTATTATAGCCTGGAAAAATACATTGGATACCTGTTTTTTTTTTCAACGAGAATCGAGTTATGGTTTAAAGCAATCATACTAATATTATAAATGCGAATGTTTACATGGATGGATGTTTGTTAGAGTTTGTAATCTTAACGGCTGAACGGATTTCGATGAAATTTGGTTCAGATGTAGAGGATAGTCTGGAAGAACACATAGGCTACTCAATGTTGTTTTTTTTTTAATTCCGCGCGGACGGAGTCGCGGTCGAAAGCCAAATATCATTCTCGTATGGTATTTAATAAAACTTCTAGTCTAAACAAGACTCTTCTTCTAAAGAGAGCAAAGATAATAGATTTGTATAATATTAAGGGTACAATCACCTCCCCTCCAGCTCACCAGTGCCTAAAAGACGTTAACCACTTTAGGAAATACTAAAAGGTCAAGTGACCAATTTTTACCGCGAGTTTCATGGGTCAATCGAGTTTTTCTTAAACCAATTATCACTTATTTGTCACAAGTAATAATTACTCACAGTGTACTGCATAACCTCCGAGCGTTCAATGGTAGATTAGGCGTCCTGTAGCACTGATTTTTGAATTCGCAATAATTCCCGTGGAAGTTGTTGAGACATTGACAGAAATTCTTCGCCACGCAAGTACCACCGTTCAGACAAGCATGATCACAGTTTGCTGGAATATGAAAATATTAATTTTGAAGTATGCAATGACAAAACTGATGCATATAGCACCTTAGTGATAGAAAAAAACTATGATTTGAAATAATAAAATTAATTTAACCTTTCGTGAGATAAATAAACAATTGAACGTCGGTTATCCGGTGTCAACCCGTCTCTTAGTAGCCGTGATTATGATATCATTTTTGTCTCAATGGACAAACAACTTAAAAGGACCCAAGTTCGAATAAATCGGTATTATCACCGAAATTATCACTTAAAATATTCACACAAAAATTGGTAACTCCTTAAAAAATCGAAACAATATGTAGAGACGACTTACAGTATTGACATTGAGGTCCTTTGTACGCTGTGGGGCAAAAGCAAGTATTAGGCGACCCGCAAACGCCACCATTAAGACAGGGAAGATTGCAATCTGGTATACAGTTTGGTATAGTCTGTTGCCACTCGCCTGCCACGCATTGCGTGGCTGCCACTGTACGACCATCAGGGAATTTGTATCCATCCATGCAAGTAACCGTACAAGACCTAGAAGTAACATAGATTATATCACAGAGGGGCTAAAAACATCAATACTTCTAGTATCGAGATAGAACAGTAGCAGAACTTCTACTCTTTGTTCAATGTTTTTTATTACATTAACTATTGGATATAGAACCTTAGAGAAAATCCAGTAGTTGTAGCGTAGCGTATAGATAATGTATAAAAAGAGAAAGTAAGTTTGGAGTATTGCACCAAATCTATTCTTTGTCTACTCTGGGCTTATAGCGGAAAAGTTCTAAAAGTATTGTTTTAAATAACAGCTGAACTCTCGTATAGTACAAAAAACTGCTGAAATTTAATTCACATTCGTCTTCAAGGACACGACAGATACGAAACTAGTCCATACATACACTGATTACGAGTAAGTTTAGAAGACAAGTAAGAATGTTTGTGTATACTTTGTTGTATAAGATTTATTCCGGAATACTACAATCCACAACTTACTCTTTATTACATTTTCTGCGGGAATTTAGCGGTAGAGACGGCATCACGAGGCATCGCACCCCCGACTCTAAAAACAATAAAAATCATTTTCATATATTTATTGCTGTGTACTTTTAATTCTTGATTTTTCTTCAACTTCAAAGCTTTAGTTTGAAACAGTCTTGCTTTTTATTTAATGCATTTTCTGCTAAATTGTAAATACTGATACATACATCAGCGCTCCAAAACTGAAGCCACCAAAAGACGACAAGAATCGAATGGTTCATTTTGTTGTCAATTTTTTGATTGCGCGAATACGTGGTATTTTCTTACACAGATATTCGCTGCGCAGTTAATTGGTGTTGAAAAAACAATAACAAAATCAGTAATCATGCATTTACCTTACATCTATCATTTTGCCCTTTTATTATTACATAGTAACAAAATAATTAAATAAGTGATTACATAGATTACTAAATAATTACTTACCTTTGAAAAATGTCTCCGATACATTTGACCTGAAAGGATAAAAAAATATAAAATAAGGTTAAGGGCCTGACCCACCACTGGCTGATAGAGGCTCAGATAGCTTAAAATGACGTCACTGTCAGATAAGAAAACAAATTTCGATATTTGCATCGCACATTTTACACGTTCGATTGCTATCAGACAATTTACAATTTGATGGGACTGGCTCTTGGCATGGTATCGATTACCATAATTATGAAGAGGCAAGTAATGATACATTCTTGCTTACAATATCGTCCGCAAGAAACATTTTACAAATAATTAGAAGTTTTTGGTACGACTTAGAAAATATGAAAGAAATCAATGAAAGGTGACATGAACGAAAAAGGATGGAATGGGATGGTAGAAAGAGTACAGTCTTAAGAAGTGTGGAAGAGAAAACTTAAAATTGCTATCTTACCCTTCTTGAGTAATGGTGGCAGCAGAACTAAGATATATCCCGCACAGTAATAGAAACGCGTGTAGATACATTTTTCGCAATTAAATTTTATGTTCGTTAACTTTGGAGTTGGAATTATATCTGAATGTTGACGTAAAATGCTGTAGTATAAATACTAAATTTTATCTTAATTAATTCTGGATATTCCTGCAATCCGACAATCCCAATGATTATATAGGAGTCTCCAACTAATAAATCTTGCATTATCTGTGTAAAGTATAAGAAATAAAAAAAGTATTTTAAAATATATTAAAGAGGTTAAAGGACGTCGAACTTACGAGAGTGAGATAAGGACAGCGAGATGATAAAACAGGTGATCGGATATTTTTATGATTTTTATATGATTTCTATTAAAAATATGTTTTTAAAATACGTTGTATAGTAGAAAATAAAAACATTTGATTGACTGAAATTGGACATAAATTAGCGCCATCTATTATTGCATTTTAAAGCAAGATATTAATTAAATAAAAATGTAATCCTAGTAAATATGAAAGTACGTTACTCAAACACCTTTACTAAACATTAAGTTTTTTATGAGAAGGACCTATACACATATTCATGGTGTTCCAAAAACACTAAGTACAAACGAAATCACAGGAATGAGTAATCTAGAAAAAACTATCATTATGTTTTCTTATCTGTTGTGTATATGTATATAATTTAGTGACGTTTTTTTTAGTTCAAATGTCAGGCAATTGTAGGTTTTATCTCAAACTGTACAATAACAATGTCGGTAATGGGTACTACCAAATGTTTCACCTAAAAATATACTGGAAAACTTGTTTACAAGGTTTATATTGTTATTGTGGGGAAAAATTTCGGTTGTCCGTTCTATAAGTGAGTTATTTGAACATACTTCATAGTGATTGATGTATTTAAATATAGATATGTTTATATATAGTGTTAAAATTGTTCAACGGATCTCGACGTAATTCGGCAAAGAATAGAGCATTGTCTGAAAGAATACAAGCTGAGTGTTTTTTTTATAATTCCACGAAAACGACGTAACGGCAAAAGTCAAGTAATAGATAAAATGAATTAGATTTATGGGATGAAAACAGGACGAGAAATCTAATTATTTGAATGTTTTTGACTATACTGACATTTATCTATTATGTCAAAGAGAACCTAAAAGATGATACGTGTGAAATATTTAAAACAAATTGTACCCGCTGTCGCTTATGAATGTAAGCACGGCTTTACGTGTTCTCGCTAAACGACACACAATAGGTAAGACCAGGCGTTAAAATACAATCGTCATAACTGACTCCAGTTATTTTTATTTACAAAATATTTTATAAAAGACTTTTATGATTGTGTTAATAATATTTTTAAGTGTTAAATGGAAATTGCAAACGTTTGTTAAATTGTTTGCTAATTTAGTAATTTAATAATAACAATTGAAAGGTAAGATATTACGTCATATATTTCATCATCATCATCATCACCAGCTCACTATACGTCCCCACCGAGGGGCTCGGAGCCTACCCTAATAAGGGGTAACCATAGTCAACCACGCTAGCCCACTGCGGGTTGGTTGACTTCACACATATCTTTGAATTTTTTCGCTCATATGTGCAGGTTGCATCACGATGTTTCCTTCACCGTAAGAACGTCGGGTAAATTTCGTCGGTCATATATTTAACAAATAAATAATATTACTTTTGCATTTACAATGTGGCAGTTTAATTTTTCATTACATATTATAATCCTATACTATTGTAATAAAGCGTAAACACACACTTCTTTGATGCCTCAGCAATTACAACATGTTTTTGAAAAACTCTTTTTTTAAATATAAAGCCCTACACAGACGTCACGCTTTAGGCTATATATTTTCACGCTATTAAAATTAGGGGGTAAATATTTTGGATAAAAACCCCAATGTGGGAAAGAGACCATAAGTTGCTGCCAACATCAAGGAAGCAAGATTGCCTTAGTAAGGTAATTGGTATATTGACATTTGCAATTGAGAATTTGACAAATGCAAACAATAAATTTATAATTTCATGCGGATGAAGCCGCACGCGAACATCTAGTATTATATATTATTGTATTTCGATTACGTTATTCGAATATAATTTTTTTTCACAATGTATTAGGTACTTTTTACAAGACAGTACAAAGAAAAGGTTTGATGATTTTTTATTAGTAAATCCCAGTTTGTAAGTATAGGTTAGAATTATTACTATGTCAGATATGATTAGAGTTTAAACTTTTGAATTAACCTAAAGGTTATTTCACGTCGAAAGCTGTTATTAAATGTCTTGCTGGAAAAGGTTATGGGGTGCAATTTTAATCAAGATTTACTAGTATTAACTTAGATGGAAATTTAACTTCAATACGTTTTTATTTTAATACAGCTGTTTTCTAATATCTTATGACGTTAGTTAAATCTATACTATTATAATAAAGCGTAAACACACACTTCTTTGTTACCTAAGATGTCAGCAATTACAGCATATTTTTCAATAATTATTTCTTTAATAAAAAGCCCTATAGTTACGTCACGCTTTAGGCTAAATATTTTAACGCCATTAAACTTAGGCGGTAAATATTTTGGATAAAAACCTTAATGTAGGAAAGAGACCATAAGTTGCTGCCAACATCAAGGAAGCAAGGTTGTCATCATGTCATGTCATTTTGACATTTGCAATTGATAACTTGACAAATGTGTATAAAAATTATTTTTTTATAATCTTATGCGGATGAAGTCGCATGGGAACAGCTAGTTAGGGATAAACTACTAGAAACCATGTTAAAATAAAACACATCATGATTACTTTTAACACGCCATCACTGAGGATCTCAGAGTTCTTCCTAAGTTAGGAATTAGGTTACTTTACCTTAGTAAACCACACGGCATTTATATCTGTCTGTGATATGTGTAAGCATTCTTTGCGAGTATGCAGGTTTCTTGATATGTAAAACGCCAATACCCTAATGGTGGCACGGACTACCGATCTAAGTCACTCCATGGAGCGACCACCGAAGCGATCTAAGCTAAGTCAC